CCAAGCCTGTTTCTCACAGGAAAGCCTTCGCAACCCTGCGGGTTTTTGTTCAGTCCCCTATGAATCAGACGCTCCGAGGTTTTGCCAAGTGCAGGAAGAAATGGAAGTCCTCGCTGGCAACAAGTGCCCTTCTCCCTGCCGATGGATCGATCTCATGGCGTTGGCCGCTCGATGGGTTCAACTCTTGGGGTACCTTCCATTTCCATTCTGAACCCAGGGATCCGGATCTTTCTAGCAAACCTCTGGAAACCCAGGAGCAATGGCTGGTTTTTGATAAGAACGATGGTTGAAAAGAAGGAATCTTGGTGTCCCGGGGTCACCTCGGTTGATCGGAGCCTTTGGGCGAGTGGATGTTTGGGGCGAGGTTTCTCCTGATCCAAGTGTTCCGAGTGCCTTTCTGTGAAGCCACTGGAGGTCTCCAGCCAATCCGCAAGGCCCACAAGATTGCCAGAAAGCGCCGGCTGAGTCAACCTACTTGGGTGACTTTGATCGGGTGCCGGTCTGTAATGGGATACAATCAGCATACGCGGTGCTTCCCCTGGCGGATTTCTTGCTTGTAGATTGCTAGGATTGGCAGCTCTGGATTTATATCTACCTTAAACGTGACAAGGCACCCCTGTCACTGACGCCAAGTGGGCGCCTATTGTTGCGCCATGGGTCTTTGCCGCTGGACGACACTTCTTTTTTGTAGACAGAGCCCCCCAGGCCCCCCCCCCCCCCCGGCGCTGGAGGATTCCAACATCCGCTGCTCGGAGCCTTTCAAAGATGACCCTTCAGCACAAGCCGAGAGCCAAACACCGAGCCAAAGCACGAGTTCGGCAGAGCGGTTTTCACATCGGCGCACGTGCAACATGCAACCAGGCACAACACGTTGATGGCTTACCAAGGTGACCGGTGTGAAGAGGAGCTCTTGGTTCCGAAGGAATTCGCTTGGCAATATGATCCAGCCAATTCGCCCTTTCGGACAAAATTTGGAGAATCCAACTTTTGGATGGTGACCTTGAATCGTCAGCCGTTGGAGTTCCCAAACAATTCAGCTCGTGGAGGTACGTGCTGCGGGCGGACATCTTGTTTTGCAGGCCTGGGCGCGAATCGAGCGGACTTGCCGCGGGCAGGGGAACATGCGCCAGGGGTCGCAGAGGTGTTAAGCCCAGTCTATTCCAGGACATGCCAAAGCACACGCACACATTTTTTTTGAGGGTACCTTTTTTGGGTTGGTTCAAAGAAAAACCCAGAGAGCACCCCATGTTGGGGTCCCTTAAAACAAGACGGATCGTACCAACATCAGTTGTCAAATACTTAATGTTGATTTGAACCCCAAGCCCCTCCAAAAGTCCCCTCCATGTCGTCAGTTCCTCCAAAAAGGGACCCCCCTCCGCAAAATCAACTGGTTATGGGGATCGCAGCCTAGTTGAACCCCCCCCCCCCCCTCCCCCGTTTTGGCGGGATTTTTCTAGGAACAAAAGGGACACCTGACAGTTTGGAGGGTCGAACCTTAACAGAGCCTGTGAAAAGAATTTGGACGCCGAAACGGATTCCAGTTGAGCATCGAGATGAATGTACTTCCGCTTAGGGGCATCATGATAGGTTCAGGCATGATGGTTATTAGGCAACTGTTACTACTGTGGATGGACGAAATTTTGCAACTGCAAATACCAACCAACAGTGGTTTCCCATATCGAAGTGTTGCAAAATGGATTTCGTCCATCCACAGGTTTAGACAACGACCACCCGGAGATTCAGAGCTTCCACCGAGGCCAGAAGATCTGGTGGCGCAGCACGTGCCGTTTCACGAGCCCTCGCCCTTTTGTTGAAGGGGTCGATCTGGATCCACACGTGGTAACTATTGGCATCTTTGCCATTTTTGCCCTTGACTAACATAATGCCGGTGGAAGCATTGAGATATTTGGTTTAGGTTGATGGTTGAGCAAGTGACCTTCTTCAGAAGGCTGAGGAAGTGGGGCGTAGTTCGGGTCATGGGGCCAATGCGCCGCGAATGTGAAGCGAGTGGCCTGACAGCTTCTTAAATGGCGAACGCCCCAAGTTTGAATTTCATGGAAGCCAACATGGGATGGGAAGGTCAGCTATGAAGTTTATGGCAACTCCTGCCGGGCACTGGCCGCATGTGGCAAGCCAATATGGCTGCAATGCCTAGCCGTGCGCGGGCGAAAAAAAAAAAAAACATATCTTCCGCTCGCCTTCCGCACACCTAGCCTCAAAACGAAGATGGCACCTGAGGCTCGTGCCCTCCCACAGCTGATGGACGAAATCCATTCACCAAATTGAAACCATGGGAACCATTGGTTGTTGGTAGGGGAATCATCATAGGGTTTCTTTGGTGGTGCAGGATCGAGTCCAAAGTTTGTTCGTGGAAGGGAGGTTAGAGATGCAGTGGATCCTGTTCCGAGTTTTTTTTTCTTCCTTTTTTTTTTCTTTAAATGTATTTTTTCCCGACACGCGTACTCACTAAACGGGAATCCTCGCCACCCCATGCGTGGGCTGGGGGGGGGGCTGGCAGGCCAACATGCGTACAGTTTCGCACATCATTTTTGGACCATCACTTCTAGGTTGGCAATGTGAAGTGAATGGCAGGGGCGGTGTTTAAGATGGATATATGGCTAAGAACATGGAGTATCCTCAAAACTGGTTGGTGGACATGGATTCTCATGACGATTAGCAAAGGATCCTCAAGTAAAGTTCATACCTGAGGATCTTGACAATCGATTCGATGGGGGGGGGGGACTGCACAACAAATTACTCATAGGAGTTTGGCTCATGGACCCCCAAAATGTATCGTTTCTTTGGCACTGGGGGCTGTTTTGAAAGGAAGCCGATTGGACAACACCACATTCTTGGTGGTTCCCCATATTTGAAGACAGACCGATAGAAGAGACTGGCAACTACGAGTTTTCTTCTACAATCATGATTAGAGTTAGTTGTTAAAGTACCCAATCCCCTTCAGCTTGTTAGACCAGTATAGTATCCTCAACTCGATTCAAAGACACAGCATAGAGTTGTTTATCTTGCTGATGGCCAGGGCTGGACATGCGCAAGGGGGCTTGGGGGATGCAATCTGTAAGTTTGGGTGGCTTAAACTGGTTGAAACATCGCTATTTGGGGTCATTGATTGATCTTGCCTTGGGACATTTCAAGAGGGACAAGGACCCCTGAGCTTGCCAAGACTGTAGCAGCACCGCTTTCGCCCGCCCGGCTCAATTAGCAACCACGGAGAATCGATCAACATCGCCATTGCATCATGCCACGTGTCCCATCGCTTGGGATTTCGGCCCGGTGTCTCGCCTGCGCATAAGTCGCGGGGATGGTCTTCGTGGGAGGTCGCCAGGTCCCGGTGGAGAAGGCAGGAGCTCAACCAGAGCCCGCCCCAATGAATGTTGTCCCCGTAATCAACCCGGTCTATTAAGAGAGCGGCCAGCCATGGGGCCTGGAGGTGTGAAAGGATCTAGTTGTGATGTTAAGACATGTTCCAGGATGAAATTAGGGTCTGACATTTTTGTTTTTTTGTGGTTTGCCTTTTTTTTTCCCCCGGCTTTTTTGGACAAGTGCAAAAAACCTCGAGAAAACCAGCAAAAACCAAAAACAAAAAGGGTCAGACCCCCATGATCCATGCTGGCTGAGTTAGGGTCTGACATTTTGTTGTTCAGTTTTTTTTGTTTTCTCGAGGTTTTTGTTTTGAAAGTACCAAGGACACATACGCAAACAACTACTAAATCCCTGTGTTTCAAAAATCCACCCCGCATGAGGTGCCGTTCTGGAGAGCGGCGGCTCATGGGGGGTGGGTTTTTGCATCGTTTTCTTCGTGTTGTTTTGTGTGTTTTTTGACATTGCTTTTCTACAAGTTGCACTTTCTTGTATGTGTAGCGATAGCAAAGACTGAAAGTGAGCAGATCAATGGATAGAGGAGAAGCAATGCACTTTTCTGCTTGTTCAACTGTGTGGCCTTTTTGCGATCAATGGATTCGTTGTGGAGCCTGTTTCGATCAGACTTCACTTCATCTTATTGAACTGGATTTTAGTCAGCTTGGATGTGTAACGGGATCTTATATATCCAGTTATGCTTTCAAGTAGAATTTAGTTATATATTTGTTTTATTTTTCTTTAACGTATATTGTAAGCAGGAATTCCTTCCAAATCTAAATGGGAATTTCTTTCCAAATATGATTTTTAGTTGACATGTGTATAACAATAATTTAGTAAGGAAAGACCAGCTCTTCTTCTAACCGATTCAGTTATAGGTATTGTTTTGAATCAGAATTTAGATGGGATTTCCTTTCCACGTATCTAGGATTATATTTAATTTTAGCTACAATCTAGACAATATGGTAATGAAAGACAAGCTGGCTGTTTCTTTCAGTTCATTCGAATAGAATTCGGTTGCGGTTAGCAGGTGAAATGCCCAGGCCGCGATGGACAATGTTTTCTTCTTGCGGATATGTGTTTCTTCTTGCTGACCCCCAACCTTTAAGAAAACCTCGAGAAAACCAAACGACACAAAAACAAAGTTTCAGACCCTATGTATCCATGCTGGCTGAGTTAGGCTCGGACTTTTTTTTTCTTCCCCGAGGCGCAAAAAACACCTCGAAAGCCAAGAAAAGCGAAAGAACTCCACAATTGGGCCCAATGTTCAAGTGTTTTTTTTTTTAAAAAAAATCTTGAGGCGAGGGGACCATGGGGTCTGCAGTTTTTTTTCCCTCGATTTTTTTGTTTGCTGTTTTACCGCTCCAAAACTCAGGCCCCATGACTCATCGACCCTTCTGGCCTTCCGTTTATTAGTGTTCCCCTCCAAAAGTGATGATTCCCCACCCCCCGTATTAATAAACTGGGGTTTATGAATATGGGGTCAACATTACGTATGGCTCCCTGGCAGTGAGCAAGGGGTCAATAAATTTGCAGAATGATAGGGGGTGTGCCTTGCCAACAGAGCCTGATGAGTGAAGCTGGGCTCAAGTCATAGTTGGAAAACTCTCCGGGACTTGTGCCACATGATTCCCATTTTGCTCCTCGTGATCGCTGCGGCTTCGGCTGAGAGCTGCAGCGATGAGGGCTGTGGCGTGAACTTTCTGCAGTCCGCAACGCGGCTTCAGCGCACGGACACAGAGGAGACCAATTGAGTAGATTCTTGCTCGTCTCTGGCATATTTGGGGAGGACAAACACCGCGAATTCCCCATGCAAACAAGGGGGCATCAAAGGCAGTCATAGTTGCGAGAAATGGAGGGCAACTCGCCCATGCGGGTTGCCAAAGGCACCCCTGAAAAGTACTCAAGCGCTTCGGTCTTTTTGGGGCATTCATCTTCCATTTGGTCAAGAATATGTTTTATGTTCCCCTGTTGGTTTTTTCCCCACATCTTTGTGTGGGGTTCTTACTTTTTCCGCTCGTCGTCCGCGCGCCGCGTCTCCTCCTCCTTCTCCCGCTCGTCTCCGTCTCACTCACTCACTCACTCACTCACTCACTCACTCACTCACTCACTCACTCACTCACTCACTCACTCACTCACTCACTCACTCACTCACTCACTCACTCACACTCACTCACTCACACACTCACTCACTCACACTCAGCTCACACTCACTCACTCACACTCAGTCACTCACACTCACTCACACTCACTCACTCACACTCAGTCACTCACACTCACTCACACTCACTCACTCACACTCACTCACACTCACTCACTCACTCACTCACTCTCACTCACACTCACTCACTCACACTCACTCTCATTCACTCACTCTCATTCACTCACTCACTCACTCACTCACTCACTCACTCACTCACTCACACTCGCTGACTCACGGCAGCTGTCTAGAGGGACAGGATGTTGTCGCGCGCGCGGCGGGGGGCGTGCGAAATCGTGGCAGGCGCAGCACTTTGGCGATGCCGTTGCGAAATCGTGGCAGGCGCAGCACTTTGGCGATGCCGTTGCCGAAGTCGTGGCAGGCGCAGCATTCTGTGCATCTGGGTGTGTGTTTGTGTGGCAGGGGTCGCATTCGGCAGCTGTCTAGAGGGACAGGATGTTGTCGCGCGCGCGGCGGGGGGCGTGCGAAATCGTGGCAGGCGCAGCACTTTGGCGATGCCGTTGCGAAATCGTGGCAGGCGCAGCACTTTGGCGATGCCGTTGCCGAAGTCGTGGCAGGCGCAGCATTCTGTGCATCTGGGTGTGTGTTTGTGTGGCAGGGGTCGCATTCGGCAGCTGTCTAGAGGGACAGGATGTTGTCGCGCGCGCGGCGGGGGGCGTGCGAAATCGTGGCAGGCGCAGCACTTTGGCGATGCCGTTGCGAAATCGTGGCAGGCGCAGCACTTTGGCGATGCCGTTGCCGAAGTCGTGGCAGGCGCAGCATTCTGTGCATCTGGGTGTGTGTTTGTGTGGCAGGGGTCGCATTCGGCAGCTGTCTAGAGGGACAGGATGTTGTCGCGCGCGCGGCGGGGGGTGTGCGAAATCGTGGCAGGCGCAGCACTTTGGCGATGCCGTTGCGAAATCGTGGCAGGCGCAGCACTTTGGCGATGCCGTTGCCGAAGTCGTGGCAGGCGCAGCATTCTGTGCATCTGGGTGTGTGTTTGTGTGGCAGGGGTCGCATTCGGCAGCTGTCTAGAGGGACAGGATGTTGTCGCGCGCGCGGCGGGGGGTGTGCGAAATCGTGGCAGGCGCAGCACTTTGGCGATGCCGTTGCGAAATCGTGGCAGGCGCAGCACTTTGGCGATGCCGTTGCCGAAGTCGTGGCAGGCGCAGCATTCTGTGCATCTGGGTGTGTGTTTGTGTGGCAGGGGTCGCATTCGGCAGCTGTCTAGAGGGACAGGATGTTGTCGCGCGCGCGGCGGGGGGTGTGCGAAATCGTGGCAGGCGCAGCACTTTGGCGATGCCGTTGCGAAATCGTGGCAGGCGCAGCACTTTGGCGATGCCGTTGCCGAAGTCGTGGCAGGCGCAGCATTCTGTGCATCTGGGTGTGTGTTTGTGTGGCAGGGGTCGCATTCGGCAGCTGTCTAGAGGGACAGGATGTTGTCGCGCGCGCGGCGGGGGGTGTGCGAAATCGTGGCAGGCGCAGCACTTTGGCGATGCCGTTGCGAAATCGTGGCAGGCGCAGCACTTTGGCGATGCCGTTGCCGAAGTCGTGGCAGGCGCAGCATTCTGTGCATCTGGGTGTGTGTTTGTGTGGCAGGGGTCGCATTCGGCAGCTGTCTAGAGGGACAGGATGTTGTCGCGCGCGCGGCGGGGGGCGTGCGAAATCGTGGCAGGCGCAGCACTTTGGCGATGCCGTTGCGAAATCGTGGCAGGCGCAGCACTTTGGCGATGCCGTTGCCGAAGTCGTGGCAGGCGCAGCATTCTGTGCATCTGGGTGTGTGTTTGTGTGGCAGGGGTCGCATTCGGCAGCTGTCTAGAGGGACAGGATGTTGTCGCGCGCGCGGCGGGGGGCGTGCGAAATCGTGGCAGGCGCAGCACTTTGGCGATGCCGTTGCCGAAGTCGTGGCAGGCGCTGCATTCTGTGCATCTGGGTGCTCTGTAATCGCATCCATACAAGGGGCGCACGGTACATGTGTGTGGACATTTGAACTCACATCCTTGGGAAAAACATAGCATGTGGGGTTATCCGGTCCTTTAATTGTTAATGTTGAAACGCATGTGGAAACATGAACTGTGTTGGCAATGCTTGACCATAATGGCGCATGCCATTTTGGCTCAAGCTTTGCCCTTGGGTTCTTTGAACCCAACTTGTGTGAAAAAAAATGTGTTTGAACTCTTCCGAACTAACCCGAACCAGCAATGGCTTCCTCGGCAACCTCGGCAACTTCCTTCGAGCTGATTGAGGACCAGACGCTCACCGCGGAGGAGGTGGCAATGGCCAGCCAGGAGGCCCAGGAAATCCGCACAACGCGAGGCGGCAGTGGCGGCCGGCTTGGAGGCCCCCCCGTCGGCTTCGGCTACCGACGTGATGAACGACCTCTCCAGTGCACTGGAGCGTCTCCGTGTGGCTTTCTCCACACCGACTTCCGGCTTGGGTGCCCCTGGCCCCGCCGAGGAGGAGGACAAGGACATGGAAGATGCGGACGCCACGGAGCGGGCTACTCCACCAACGAAGAGGCTGAAGGGTTTCGTGGCGGCTTCCCAGAAGACCACGGCTCAGGCGAACAAACCGGTCTCCCTTCTGCCGGTGGAGGGCCGTCCCGGCTACTTCAAGTTAGTGGACCTCCCAGACCTCTTCCCGGTCCTTCCGGCATCGGCGGCCACGTTGCTGAGGGACGTCATGGTGGAGGAGGCGGTCTCCCTGTTCCACAAGTTTGTCGGGAAGAATCTCACGGAGGACTTGGTGATTCGCATCCTGGAGGCCTATGTTCCGATGAAGATCCAGATCCGGCAGGAGGAGGTCTGGGCCTCACAGTTCCAGAGGAACAAGGCGTGCATTGGCACCCAGCGGATGCACAGACTCGATGCCGGCCACTCAGACTACAAATTCATGTGCAAGGCATGCGGCACGGGGTGGCCAGAGGCAGCCAAGCAATGCTGGGTCTGCCCGGGCAAGGAGTTTGTCCCCTTTCAGGCACCCTCGGCTAGACGGCGTCACTTACAACCTGCTCATTGTGGAGGGAAGCCGACCTGGATCCAGCAGCGGGAAGGGGGAAGCCTGGGTGCCGCTGGCCCTGGTGGTACCCGGGCACAGGCAGACCGCAACCTGGTGGACGGCACGGTCCTGGGAAGAGCTCCTCCGAAAACGGACACGGCAGATGGCAGACGTGGTCCCGCTTAACAGGCGGGTGGACATCCGGCAGGAGATCCTGTCCATGCAAAGCGGACGACGAGGCGTTGAAGGTCCGGGAGCGCCAGGAGGTCAAGGTCAAAGTGCAGCGGTCCCTGAAGGAGGCGGAGGCTCAGAGCTTCCAGCTCTACCACCCCCAGGTGGACCAGGCGATCCGGAAGAAGGAGGAGCTGCATAAGGCCTTGAGGGAGCACCGGGAACCGACCCCGGAGGAGTCCTCGGCCAGGCGGCGGCACAAGGAGTTGGTCACGGATGAGATGCTGGACAATGAGATGGCTATCCTGGCGCCTCGTCAGAGGAGGTGGCCAATGAGGGAGGCCCTCAGGAAGGTCAACCTGGAGCGATTCAAGGCCAAGCTGCGAGACCAGTACCTGGAGGGGAAGGGCGTCGACGCCAGCCAGGCACTGGCTGAGCAGGAGGCTCAGGAGGCGAACAAGCGCACCCAGGACACCAACCAGGCATGGATGCTTAACCACACCCTCAAGCCCTTGGAAGTGTCGGCGTGGCCAGATGATCTCAGGCAGGCACTGGAGAGGGGGCTGTTCTGCCCCCTGGAGCTGGATGACCCCGAGGACATCCCCAACGTGGGAGACATCAAGGAGAAGTATGTCCCCTACATCAGGAGGCTCAGAGAGGCGCAGAACCCATGGAACCAGGAGGCGCTGCTGGAGGAGATGCCCGATCTGGCGACACCGGCCCCTTGCAAGGGTGCCACTGGCCCCGGGGGGGACCAGTCAATGCCACAGCAGGACCTGGACTCGGAGGAGGGCAAGCTGTCCCTGCTCCTCTGGGCGATGAAGAGGCACCAAGGTGAGCTACGGATGTTTGGGGGGATCTGGAAGAAGCACTCAAGCGGTGAGATCCCCAAGGGCGCGGACCAGCAATTCAAGCTCACTCCGGAGGAGCTTTTGGCCCTGGAGCGCAGGACCCACCCACTCACGTGCGAGCAGGACCACATCGATCCTGTCATCTACTCGGCCTTGGAGATCCGAGCGCAGGTGAACCGGGGCGAGCGCCCGGCGCCGGAGCAGGTGGTGGGGATCTTCTGGGCGAAGGGCGATGGAGTGTTTTGGACAAGGCAGACGAGGACGTGGGACCTGCCGAGCTTGACGGGGGTGTACGCCCACCGGTTCACCTTCAAGTACATCTACTCGGCCTGGACCACCTTCCCGCTGGTCGTGAAGACGCAGCGCCGGGGCCGCAATGCGGAGGGCTCGGCCTCGGACAAGTGGATGGGCAACATCCTCCAGATGAGGAAGGAGGCGGTCCCCTTCCTGGAGAGCCTGGGAATCCCCAAGCCGCGCACCAAGGCGGAATGGAGCTACATCTTCAAGGAGATGGGGACGTTTCTGGCGGCCAAGAATTTCATCGTTAACTGCCCGTTGCCGGTGATGGAGATCCCAGTGGCCCCCGTCCACGACAGCAAGGAGGCGCTGCGTTTCAGGGCGGTCTGCGACGAGCGTATCACCCTTCCGCTGTCATCGTTGAGGGCTTTCGGCTCGGTGTACACCAAGCTGGTGTCGGGCCTGAGTAAGTCCTCCATGGTGGAGATCAAGGTCAACTGGCGTTGCAACGTGGTCCATGACTGGGTGGAGCAGGTCCCGCAGGAGGCGGCGGGTGCCCTGTACGGGCTACTCCCAGGAGGACCTTATCAGGCAGCTGGGTTGCTCCCCCCCCTTGGGTGCCTCTGGCCCCGGGGGAGGAGCGGCCAAGGAATCGGACCCCAAGGCCAAGATTCTGGGGGGAGCGGACACCACGCTCCGCACGCCGGACCAGGGCACCAGGCGGTACCCTCCTATCACCACGTCCACGGTCACGGCGGTCGCGGGCCGGAAGTACATCAACAAGCACTTCCCGAAGGAGACAAAGCACGTGTTTTGGGCCTCGTGGAGTGCGGCCTGGTCCTGCCCAGCATCAGCGCCTGGGAAGTGGTGGGCAAGGAGAAATTCAAGACCACCGGGGGCTACATGTGCAGGTTCTGCAAGGGCTTCTGGAGGGCGAGCCGCGGCTCCAGATCACGGGGTGGCACAAGGACAAGGCCACATGCCTGCAGCTGGTGATGGACGAGCCCCCGGAGCAGCTATATAATCAGTGGATCCAGGACAGGATGGAGTTCTACAAGCGGGTGGAGCCGACGGAGCCTCCCATCCTCACTTCGCCATGGGGGGACAAGCTCCAGGAGTCGCTCTCGTTGGGCTGAACATTCAGGACCCCGACCACCAGTTTCCCCAAGATCTGGAGCAAGGGGTCCCACTGGGGGTCACGGACCCACCCCTGACCTCGCCGGGCATCTGGCGGAGCCGTTCCAGGAACTCCCTCACCCAACGGGCAGGGGTAACTACCCCTCGGCGGATCACTTCAGCGAGCTCATCCGGGGCACATTTCTGGAGGAGGTCCCCATGGGTATGGTAGAGGGCCCCTTCAGTAAGGTGGAGGCAGCATCGCGCTGTGGCTGCAAAATCGAGGACCTTTGTCCCGGCCCCCTAGCGGGCATCGACGAGGGGGACAAGATCCGCACGATCTACGATGGCTCGGTGGGAGGGGCCAATGACACCATCAGGAACCAGACGGTGGAAAGGACGACGGCTCCGACGGTGCTGGATGGGGTCCAAGCTCTTCATTGGCTACATGCGGCAGCTGCGGAGGGACCCCCCTCTCAGGGTGCCCTGGCCCCGAGAGGGGGGTCGTCAAACCTCCACCTGGGGGCTGGCTATGGCCGGAGCCGGGCACCAGGTGGGTGCTGCTCAAGGCGGACGTCACCAAGGCCCACCGGAGAGTGAAGGTCCTCAGGAAGGACTGGCGGTTCCAGGTGGCCTCACTGGGGGAAGAATGGTGGGTGAACAAGGTAGGCACATATGGCATGGCCAGTGCCCAATCCTACTGGGGACGCCTGGCAGCCCTTCTACTCAGGGTCCTCTACGCACTTTTCCCTCAAGTAGATTGGAACTTCGTCTTTGTCGATGACTTCCTGTGGCTGCTTCGAAGCGAGGGGGCAGTAAACTTGGCGGTGGCGCTGCTGGCCTTGGGCACCCCGCTTAGCTGGAAGAAGACGCATTTGGCGGAGGTTAACACATGGCTGGGTTTCGTGGTCCACCCGAACATCCCGCAGGTTCTCATGGCAGCCAACAAACACATCCTGGTTATGGAGGTTTTGCAGACCATGGTGGAAGGGCAGGCGATGCACTCAAAGGACATCGAGAAGGCCCTGGGTCGCATCCAATGGGCGACGGCTGCATGTCCGCTGGCGAAGTCGATGCTCCAGCCACTTTGGGCCTGGAAGATGGCCACCACCACGGTGGGGAAACCCCCCAAGGTGGTCAGGATGCTGGCGTTCATGCTGCGGTTCCTCTTCAACACGCCTTTCGTCCAGTACTCCCCTTACTTGCCGAAGTCCTCTTGGTGGGGTTGCAGCGATGCTAGCGCCTCGGACGAAGGACTGGCATTTGTGGGAGGTTGGTGCTCCAACAAAGTGGAGCCGGAAAAGAAGGAGGTGTACTGGTTCCACGAGCAGATCCACGTGGAGGAGTACCCTTGGGCATTCAAGAATGGGGATCCCAAGCGGAGGATTGCGGCTCTGGAGATGCTGGGCACGCTCTTCCTCTGTAACATGATCCTCACGCACCAAGGCCCTCTGTCCTCCCGGGTCCGACTCCCGGTGGGCAGTGACAATCAGGGCAACCTTGGATCCAAGAAGCCCTACACGACGGCGATCTTGATGGAGCTGGTCTTCCTGCTCCACACCCATGGCTGCTCGCTGGCGGCCAGCCACGTGCCCCGTGAATTCAATCAATGGGCTGATGAGCCAGATTTCTCTGGGTTCGACCCTTTGCAAAGGGTCCCCAAGCAGGAACTCTGCGAGGAGTTCGTTTTTCTCCCGCGTCTCCTGAATGGAGATGCATTTGACCTTAGCGCGGGCCCACCCATGCTCCCGTGACCGGAGCCGGTGGGCGACTCACTTCCCCTGGTGGCAGCCTTTATGTGGCCTGGGTGCCACGGGCCCCGGCTCAGGGGCGGGCGCTATCAGTCTGCACACCCGTTCTTCGTGAGTTGGGTGGCCCATGGGGCCCACCCAGCCTTTGTCATCTGACAGGGGAAGATGAGTCCCTGGCACCAACACACTGCTCGGATAAAAGAGTTATCGCGTGCTTGTGTGTGGTGCCGTTTGGTTAGCTTGCATACACTAAAGGAAATCCATCACTACTGGACATATTTTTCTTTTTTCCAGGGGACTTAAGCACATGGAGGTCTTCCATTTGCTTAAGCCCGCAGGAAAGAATAAACCTATTTCCAGTAGTAATAGATTCCCTTTAAAACCAGCAAGGGAAAGTAAAACATGTTCTTACACTAAGAAGATCTGTGCTTTTTGCAGACTGGCTGGTTGACCATTTTGGGCAGCGGTGCCTAAAAAAGGCAAAGGCGCGGGCCGGTCGTAGGGCCTAGCGTTCACGGAAAGACTGCAGCGAGGGTAGTCCCTGAGCACGTCCCTGCGAGGATGTTTGGCCCTCAGCCCGGGGCAGCTGGCCCTTTCTGGCCGTGGGCAAGGACTCAGGGCCCTTCCAGGTCGGGCTTCATTATGTGGGTCAAAAATAGGTACCCAATATAGAAGCCTGGTAAATGGAAACATGGACTAAAACTTGCGGTTGCCTGGTGGTTTAACTTTGACCCATACCCATTTTGACCGTTTCTGGGGGTGATCAAAGTCAGAAAATGTGGTTGGTTTCCTCTTTGATCATGCTAAAACAATGAGACCAGTTCCCCGTTTTTTTGCTTCCTTTTCCGTTGGCTTTGGTACCCATGTTGATTCTTTTTTGGCATGCTCCGGATCCTCATAGAGTTTGCTTCTCCCCACCCATCGGGTTTAGGGTTGTTGGGTAGTGGGGTCGTAAATGACGTCCGATCTGCGAGCCTCATACTCCACCAAGTGCTGCATGAAAGCTGTGACAGACCCTAGTTCGACAGCTGTGACAATAGCTGTGACAGACAGGAACTGATCTGCGCGACTGTGACAGACCGAAGCCTGAGGCTCCCGAACCGCCCCTAGGCCAACTCCACCTGTTGCAGGGCATGCGAGCCCTGCCTTGCATGTTTTTGGGCGCCCCTCTCACTTTGTCAGGTGAACACCCACAACCCCTCCAAGAATTGGGCCATCCCAAAACGTGGCTGGCTCTTGGTTTTCCTCTCCCAGAAAACTTGGTGGCTCCCAGCCATCCGGTTCCTTAGCTTTTTAGCCTTTTAGTGCTTAATTACTGTAGTGGTAGTTTCCATTTCACCCACTAAAAGTTAGTCAAACGTTTCGCGGGCAACCCTCCGAAAAATTCGGAAGAAGTCACAGGTCATGGGGTGGGGGGGGGGGGAGGGGCGGGAGTGGGGAGGGAGCCCAAATGGGTATGAGTCAAAGTTAAACCACCAGGGGACCGCAGGTTTTAGTCTATGTTTCCATTTACCAGGGTTCTATTTGGGGTACCTATTTTTGACCCATACCCAAATAAGCCCCAAATAAGGCCTTATTAAGGGCTCAATAGGAGCTTACCTCCCTCCCCTCGCAGCCTTCATAGGTGAACAGCAGCCTGGCCTGGTCCTGGCACCACCCGGAGGGCCGGTTCCACACGCTCACCTGGGGCACTGCGCTGGACCACCAGCTCAACGTCTACCTCTCCGCTGCGGACGGTCTCCGGAAGTTCGACCCGGACGGCAAGGTCGGGTCGGGGGGGAGCGGAGAGGATGTTTTCAGAGTGAGAACTCACCTTGAAAGGGATAGTGGACATGAACTCCCACCTTTGGGGGGGGGGATCGATCTGCATTTGGCCACGATTTTTTAGAGTGAGAACTCGCCTCAAAAGGGACAACATTGTGGACGTGAATCGGGACCCACAGAATGAGGTCCACCAAAGGGTGCCTTATTAAAATTCATAGCCATTTCGGGCTCGCAGCTTCATAGCCACAATGGCTTGGCGGTAACCCCAATGAACCCAGGTTTTCTCGAACCACCTGGGGGGTTGATCAAGATTTCCTGGCGCCCAAGTGACCATGGGTAACTTTCCCCATGTGGGGAATATCATCTTTTTCGTGGTTCATGCTTACCGGACCTTTTGATCAACTCCCACATGAGCAGCGGGGATGACCTGGGAAGCACTCACCAAAATACCGCTGAAACTGGTTTTGCCCATGAGATCTCAGGTCATTGGGGTGGCTCACCTGGTCAAAATAGGTGGACCAAATTGGGGTTCCTTGGCCTTTCGGAGTTCTCCTTGAAAGAACGAAAGTAATTAGTCTTTATGGTCCATGTGGACATTTTACAGCCACGGGCTCCGGTTTTCTCGATGCAAGAAAGCTGTTGGACCAAAGGTTGCCTGGATCAAAGGTTGCTGTTGCACAGCAAAAGTTCAACCACACGTTTTGCCCGGGCTCAAGGCCCAACCCATGCCTGCATGTTTTCTGTTGGAGTTTGTCGTCAGAGCTCCGTAAAGCGCATGAGGTTTGTTTTTCCCGGGAGTGGGATGGCGGATGGGCCTTTGCAGCAGGTGCGTTTTCATTTTCTTGACCCTTTGCTAAATCTGAGCCCAGTTGAAAGGTTCAAAGGAGAGGCCGTCCCGGGACCTGCCACTGGCGGTTCAATCAACTACCAGGGCCATCTATTTTCAACCAAGAAGGGCACCTCCCGGAAAGGGGTTCCCTATTTTGAGGCAGACTGGGGAAGACTCCCAAAGAGTTCAAGCTCAGCGGTTTCAGGTCCTGTGGGAGCACAAGACTTTGCCGGCACGCCTCATCAACGCGCCCGCCATTTACAAGGGCGCCGTTTATGCCACTGACACCTTGGGGGGCGTGCGCGCAGTAGACATGGCCACTGGGGAGAGGCTGTGGCACACCCAAATGGAGCCGACTGTTGGAGAGGACACTCAACTGCTATTGGGTCGGATCTTTAGACTTTAACTTTTTGGACAATCCAGTTGCGTTTTCCGTATGAAACCGGCAAAAAGTTGAGCACTTTTTGCGGAGGGGTCGTTGCAGCAACCAAGGACAATGGCTTCTCCATGGTCCATGCGGGCGTTGTCTTGACCGCTGCGGACTGGCGGCCCCCCTCGCCCCAAGGCGAGGCCAATCAAAAGGTGCGGGCGTTGAACGCCAGCACCGGCCAGGTCCTTTGGACCTTCACGCCGGACACGGCCGTGTGGAACTTCCTGCCGCTGTTCCCGGATCATGAGACGGTGGTCTTCCAAGACATGAGCGGACGGGTCTACCGCCTGGGCCTCTTTGATGGTCGGGAGATTTGGAAGGCGGGAGGTTTGGAGGGGAGCTGGACGGATGGCTCGGCGGCGCTCGGCGGCAATGGCCTGATATACGCTGTGAACAACAACAAGCCGCTGGCAGAAATCAAGAACCTGGACGCGACCGTCCCAGGATTCCCCAGAGATACAAACCCAGGCACTTTGAGTGCCTACGACCTGGACGGGAACCTGAAATGGCAGGTGACAACGCCGAAGCCGCCCAACAATGCGCCTGCTGTGGGCAAGATTCACGGATGGGATGGACTGTCAGTGATCATGCCGATCTGCCAGCAGGCATATCAAGGCGCGACCTGCGACGTCTACGCGCACGACGCGGATAGCGGAAGGTTGCGGTGGGTCTTCAACGGTCCGACGCAGAAGGGGCTGTCGCAGGCTGGCTTCCATTTGCTGAACAGAATCGTTCTTTTGCATCTTCCCCTGGTTTTAAAGGGAAGCGATTTCACTACTGGACATACGGCTCTGGGTGAAAACCAATGGTACCATTTTGGGGTAGGTGAATTCACCGCCCAATTTGGAGCCTATTTTGGTGGTTGGATTGAATCAGATGTTCACTGGGGGTCCGATTTGGATTTTGACCCATGGCCAACTGACCAGATTCTTGCTAGGGAGCTGCTACAGGAACCCCCCAAAACCGGCATTCACGGATGGTCCCGATTCAAGCACTTCGGCATCAAACAGGGAAGCGATTTCACTACTGGACACATTTTCTCATTTCTTCCAGTCTTCTCAACGCCAGGCCGGAGACCTGGCGGGGGCGTTGGAGAGAACGCTCTCCGGCATCCGGCCCGCGTGCCTCCCGAACGGCTGGAGCGCTCCGGCCATCGGGGCGGACGGCACGGTGTCTTTGGTGCATTTTGCCAAGGGATGTTAGGACTTTAACTTTTTGCCAACTGATGGGTTTTCCGTATTAAACGAAAAGTTAGTCACTTTTAGCAGGGGAGCAGAAAGCAACCAAGGTGTATCTGGGCAGCGAGGAGGGCCCCTTTTTCGCGCTCCGAGATGCTGACCGAGATGGCAGGGTGCTGGGGGAGCAGGAGGCGGGAAATGCGAAAGAAACACCACGTGGCCTTTTGACCATGTCTTCGACGACTTGTTTTGACGAGAGACATACATTCTCCGGGGACATTCGGGCCTGGTGCAAAGATGCATTAGGGGCCCCAGGTCGGCAACAAGTGTTCTTATTCCCCCGCTACTTAGCTCGAACAAACACAGGAACGCACCCTGAATCTATTCATGGATACTCATTTCCAGGAACCTGGAGACACAGGGTGATGGAACAGCAGTAACGACACTAATGAGGGGTCCTAGGCTGTTTATATGTGATACTCCAGAAAAGACATGCAATGGTCCCAGGGCATAAAAGAAGCATGAGGTACTTCCACAACCGGAGGGAAGGTGTCAAAATTAGGAACAACTTTGAAGACTCATGTTGTCATGTTGTCATGTACCGGTCTGTTTTGGGCCCAACGATCTTTGGGTCGTTTGGTGAAGACGCTTGTCTTATCGAGGTGATGCTTTGGACGCCCCACCAGTGGAGTCTTTAAACAACAAGTGCAGTGAAATTGGCGGAATTCACAGGGGCATCAATCCAGGTTTCCACTGTTGACTGCCGAGTAGACTTAAACCCACGGGTGATTCATTCCCCCAAAAGGAGAACCCCTGGGTTTAAGTCTATCTTGGAGTGCTCAAAAAGTGGAGCTCTGCATCAAAACAGTCTAATTGTGTGCAAAGTTGAATACCTCCCAAACTGATCACTATGGCTCGACCTTGAAATCTAGGACCACCGCCAAGGGTATGTGGCGACTCCTTTTGCACCCAATAGTGTTGACCCTCAGGGGTGGTTGATGAATATTCCTTGCCCCCAAGTGACCATGAATAACTTTGCCCATGTGGGAATTATCATCTCTTCGCGGTTTCCCAACCAATGCTCAACCCATACTTACCGGAGCTTTTGAAGCCCCATGTACACACTCCTTTCGAATCCTGGGCAAGTGGTAGCACATCCTTCACTTCCAAACTCCCGGTGTCTCACTTCCAAACTCTCGCTGCCTTCCAAATCCATGTGGGACATATGGCCACATGAATTCAACATTTCGGAACCCCCTGTGGTTGGTACAACCCCACCATGATGTCCACAGGGTCTCTGATCAAAATTCATGCCCATGTACTCTTGTTTTGTGGTTCCCCCAATGGTCATCCCATGTTTACCGGACCTCTGGATCGCCCTTCAGGTGTCTTATTTCCAGACTGGCGCCGCATTCTCTGGATCCTCCAGCGCAGCCATTGCCCCTGGCATGGTCGCGGTGGCCTCGTGCGACTCCCTTTTCGTCTTCAAAAACTGAGGTTCTTCCTGGAGCATGTCTGGCCTGGTCGAAACCTCAAGAATCAGCCCAAACAACAATTCGAAGGAACCAGGGATTCTCATTTGGTCGAAACCTCAAAGATCAACCGAAGCAAAATGGAAGGAGCCAGGGATGCTCGATCTTCATGTCTTTTTTTGCCCGGACGTCTATGTTGGGACATTTCGTTGCGGAGACAACACAACACGCAGATGATTCCACAGCCACCTTGGCCACACGGCGTGCTGGGGCGATGCTCTGAACCGGCAGACAGCCTTTGAGATGCCTCGGTACGTCACTTCTGCTTCGAGAGCCATGGTTGTGCATAGATCTAGGGGCACCTCCCCCATTCTTTCCAGGGATCCGGATCTTTTTAGAAAACCTACATAAACCCGACGAAAACGGATCCGGTTTTCGAAAAGAACGCTGGTTGAAAAGAATGGACAAGGAACCAACCCCTAGAATAGATGTAGAGACCCATTTGTGGCGGCCCACAGCGGCCCCGGCAATTAGACATGGGGCAATCGCCCTTCGAAAGTGAGAGTAAAGCAAAGCGGCCGCTTGGGCCTAGAGTTTGCACGAGTGACCCCATGAACGTTGCAGCTTGGCATAGGTTTGCCTTCCCAACAGAGCCTGATGAGTGAAGCTGGGCTCAAGTCATATGTGGAAAACTCTCCGGGACTTGTGCCACATGATTCCCATTTTGCTCCTGGCGATCGCTGCGGCTTCGGCTGAGAGCTGCAACGATGAGGGCTGTGGCGTGAACTTCCTCCAGTCCGCATCGCGGCTTCAGCGCACGGACACGGAGGAGAGCGACTGGCTGTGGGTCACAACCAATGGGATCCCATTTTGGGGTAGGTGCACCACCCATTTTAGAATCTAAGTGGGGATTGGGATGTTCACTGCGGGTACGATTTGGATTTTGACCCATGGCCAACTGACCAAATTCTTGCTAGGGAGCTGCTAAAGGAACGCGCCCAAAAACAGCATTCACGGATGGTCCCGAATGAAGCACCGAAGCCATCAAACAGGGCCATCCAATTGGATCACGTTTCTGGGTGGCTCCCAGCCATCTGGTTCCTTCGCTTTTTCGCTTTTTGGTGTTTAGTGAGGATTTCCATTAAACCTTTAGCGGGGGATCTGAGGGAAGCAGGGGCATTCATTTGAGCCACGCCCTTTTTTTTGGGCGAGGAGTATATTTGGCCCTCCGCGCGCGGCAGCTTTCCCTTTGTGGCCGTGGGGAAGGACTCAGGTCCCTTCCAGGTGCTTCGTCGGCAACGGGCAGATGTGGTGGTGGCTTCTCAAAGAGTCGGCGCCCCCCAAATGGCGGTGGCGGTTGAATTCCGGTGCCCCCAAAAGGGGTTTTGCAGTGGGCGTTTTGGGATTTTGGCCGGATACGATACGCCATGCTGAGAGTCTCGCTTTCATGTCAGGAGCCTCGCTGCAAATCGAGTGGCACCTGCTAGGTGAGCCACGTGCTCAAAACCGATTCGGGTACATGAAGGTTAGTAAGGGAGAATCCCAACCAAAAATAGCTGCGGAGATCCGCCTTCTTAATTCTTTACATGCCCTTGCCATAAATAGCTGCGGAGATCCGCCTTGTTAAGTCTTTACATGCCCTTGCCATAAATAGCTGCGGATCTCCGCCTTCTGAATTCTTGAAGCATGGTTCTGGGGATCGCCGTTTTAATCCCGGGTTTTGATTGTGACTCAGGTGAGGACTGATGTATTCAGGATGGTTCCAACCCAAGCCTTACGCGGGCATCCAGCCTCTATACTAACGGGCTAGCAGATAGAATATATATTTTTAGAGTAATTGAAAATGCACATTCCAAAAGTCGTAAAACAATATGGAGGGGTATTTATTTTAGGATTTTTGTCGTCTTGTTTTGGGATTTTTTTTCGCTTTTGGCTTCTTGGCTTCTTGGCTTCTTGGCTTTTCGGCTTCTTGGCTTCTCGGCTTCTGGGCTTCTGGGCTTTTTGCTGGTTTATGCGGCTTTTGGTTGCTTTTTGCCTTTTCGCATCCTCTGCATTCCCAGTTCCTTTTGCGGCTTTTCGCTGGTTTATGCGGCTTTTGGCGGCTTTTGGCGGCTTTGGCTTTTCGCATCCTTCGGGCTTTTTGGCTTTTGCGCCCTTTCATTGAATTTTGGGTTTGGCTTCCTGCATCATCAGCATCACCACCACCCTGTTTGAATCATCACTTCTTCGGACATCATGGGGGGGAAAGCCCCCCCAACCCACCCGCTACTGTTTAGATTGTTTGCAGAGTAGTTGCACCCCTATTTGAATCAACTCTTCAAACATCATGGGGGGGGGTTGCTGCCTCCCCCCTTACTTTTTAGTTTTCGAATTGCACCCCTATTTGAATCATCACTTTTTCGAGCGTCCAATTTCGCGAGAAATTGCTGCAACATACAACATTTTAGGTAATCTGTGTAATCCATGTATGTCTGCATGTATACATTTTTTCGAACATCATAGGGGAAGCCACCCCCGCCAACCCTCCCGCTGCCTTTTAAATTCTATCGCACCCTTTCTTGAATCATTGCACCCCTACTTGAATCATCACTTCTTCCGACATCATGGGGGGGGGCTGCCGCCCCCCCCAACCCCCCCGCTACGTTTTAGATTTTCTACAGAGATTTAATTGCACCCCTAGTTGAATTATCAATTCTTCGAACATCATGGGGGGGCTCCCCCCGGTAGTTTTTAGACTTTTTGCAGAGATTTAATTGCACCCCTATTCGAATCATCACTTCTGCGACCATGATGGGGGGGCCCCCCCCCCCCAACCCCCCCGCTTTTGTTTTTTTTGCTGGGATTGAAATGCCCTCTGTTTGAATCATTATTTTTTTCCGCCAGCTACTTTTTGGATTTTGTTACCCACGATTTGTTGGTGATGTTAGGGATGTTGGCCGGACATGCGGGGGATGTTGAAAACGATGCTGGGGATGTTGACGGGCTAGTGTAAAACGCGTCAATTTCGCGAGACTGTAAAATGCGACATTTTACTGGCCCTGACGAAAAACAAAAAAAATCCGGAAAGAAAAAACCAAATCCGCACCCCAAAAATATACAGCAAGAATAAATCGATAACCCACAGTTAGAATAACTCCAACCAAACCAGTTAGACTATTTCGACACAGTTCACATATTTCAAAACAAGCGTGTCTGTTATGAACAACTACTCTGCAATAAATGTCCTAGCTGCTAGCCCGTTGCTAGTATATGCGGCTTTCAGGAAACCATGTGGGTCCCATGATTTTCCATTTGGGTCCGTCTTTCTTTCGAGGGTATATACCCTTTTGGGTGGCTGGCTGGCAGAAAACAACACCAAACGGAAACCAACCATTTTGAGGGGTCCCCCTAAGAAAGACACACGCATTTACCAGAGGAATGCATGGCTTCTCCTTTTTTCAGGGCTCAAAAGCTCAGCCCGACGTGCCATGCCCCTCTCCCACGAACAGATAGAATATTTCATATACAGCAAATTCTCCAGAGACTCAAACGGTACCGAGCCCCAAGTATACATGAACACCATTTGGGGGGGGGGCACAGATAGAATATTTGCTTTTAGCAAACCTTCATCAGGTGATTCATCGTATACACAAATTACTAGATATAAAGATAGTAAATATTGGATTGCTTATTTTTCCCTCAGGATATTTCAACAAGGGGTGGCCTTCCTTTCCCTTTAACCCAACCCCAAACGGCACCGAGCCGAAACCATACATGAACACCATGGGGGGGCACAGTTAGAATATTTGTTCTTGGGCCGGGAAACCTTCATCAGGCGATTCATCGTATGCACACATTTATAAATATATATGTATATATATATATAGAGATAGCAAGCATTGGATGGCTTATTTTTTAAGGGCACTTCAGTACACTCCAACAAGGGGTGGCCTTCCTTTCCCTTTAATCCAACCCCAAACGGTACCGAGCCCAGAATATACATGAACACCATCGGGTGGCACAGTTAAGGGCCGGGAAACCTTCATTAGGCGATTAATCGCATGCACTCATATATATATATATATATACACATGGTAGATCTGGTTTTGCTTATTTTTGAGGGACCCCACTATATTCCAAACAGGG